ATGCCCCCCCCCGACCTCTGTATTATGTTACACACCTGATTCCATGGCAGTCAGTGCAATCGATTTGTGTTTGTGCCGCTCGCAGTCCTGCAGAACCTTTATCACGCTCTGTTTTAGCTCATTTGGTTTAGAAGTGTCAGAGATGAAGATCGTCTTCAATGAAGTTCCACCGACGTCCTGGAGTTTGCTGGTTTCTGTCCGGGAGGAAATAAGAAGACACAATGGAGGACAAATTTAGTGTTGAGGCAGAAGAGGAGCTGAGTGGGCAGAGGTGGTGCTAAGTGGGAAAAGGTACGGCCGAGTGAGCAGAGGTGGGGCCGAGTGAGCAGAGGCGGGGCTGAGTGGGAAGAAGTAGGGCTGAGTGGGCAGAGGTGGGGCCGAGTGAGCAGAGGCGGGGCTGAGTGGGAAGAAGTAGGGCTGAGTGGGCAGAGGTGGTGCTAAGTGGGAAAAGGTGCGGCCGAGTGAGCAGAGGCAGGGCTGAGTGGGAAGAAGTAGGGCTGAGTAGGCAGAGGTAGGATTGAATGGGCAGAGTAGGGGCTAAGTGGGCAGAGGTGTGGCTGAGTGGGAAGAAGTAGGGCTGAGTAGGCAGAGGTAGGATTGAATGGGCAGAGTAGGGGCTAAGTGGGCAGAGGTGTGGCTGAGTGGGAAGAAGTAGGGCTGAGTGGGCAGAGGTGGGGCTGAGTAGGCAGAGAAGGGGCTGAGTAGGCAGAGAAGGGGCTGAGTAGGCAGAGAAGGGGTTGGGTGGACAGAGGTGTGGGTTGGCCAGCAGAGGAGGGACTGAGCAAACAGAGGTGGCGCTGAGTGGGCAGAGGCGGGATGAGCAGATAGAGGCAGAGGTGAGGCTGAGTGGGCGGAGGTGAGGCTGAGTGGGCAGAGGTGGGGCTGAGAGGACAGAGGTGGGGCTGAGAGGACAGAGGTGGGGCTGAGTGGGCAAAAGTGAGGCTTAGCATGTTGATGAGAGGGGGAAGGGACCAGGGATGGCAAAAGATAAGCAGATTAAACTTCACCTTCAGTGCCCGTTCACACCTACATGTTGGGTTAATCGCGCGGTCTGATTAATGCGTGCTATTGTGCAAGGCCCCTATCATGTGTTACAGTGGATGGTGCGTTGCAATGCTATTTATTGGAATAGTACCCCAAAACACCACCTGTCCGCAATGTGCAGCACCTCAATACTGTGCGTTGCATTGCCATGGTAGGTTGTGCCACACAGGTCCAGGCAGGAGGAGGCTAAGGGGAGTGCAGCCCATCTATTGCCCCGTTGCTGCATTTGTATTATATCAAGGGGCATATGGGGGTCATTGACTGTGGACATCATATCTGGAAGAGGTCTCATGGAGCACTAAGAGGTGCGTGTTTCATGTCTGATTTCTCCGGCACCTCCTTATCCACGCCCCGGGGAAATTGGGACTTGGGGAACGTGCTGGGAATGAAATGAAAAGGTTTTTTTTATAACTCGTAGCCTTCTCCTGAGGAAGCCATTGTGACAGTGAAACGAGTCGAGAGACAACGAGCTACCTCCCCAAATGGAACATTACAAATATAACTTTTAAGGGTATTTCACAAAGCTGCCGGAGGATCGAGCTGTACCTCCGGCTGATCCTTCAGCTCGCTTCGGCCGCCTCTGCCCTTCGGTTCAGCCGAACCGAAGGGCTGCTGTAATGGCTATTCACAATAGCCCGTACAGCAGCCGAAGGTAGCCGAGCCGAAGGCATATGCTGACAGCCGAAGTAGGGCGAACAGCCTGCCAAAGTCCGGCCTTTTGCCCCTGCAAATGACAGCTGGGCGGAGCTAGCCGTGATCCCACGGCTGGCTCCGCCCAGTTGTAACGACAGATCAGCGTCCCCAAATGACCTGGGGAAGCTGAACTGTTATTAAACAATAACAACTGGGCGGAGCCGGCCGTGACATCGTGGCCGGTTCTGCCCAGTTGTTACTCATTGGCCGGGACCTGCTAGAAGACTCTAGCAGGTGCTGGCCAATAGGAAACAGTTGGGCGGAGCTAGCTGTCACTGCTAGCTCCACCCAAATTTTTTTTGTTAAATATTTTTCTTTTTTAAAATATTTATTTTTACAATTTTACTATTTATTTACATTCGGCTATTCACTCACCGCCGTTCGGCCACTATGAGATGTTGGATCGGCTGAGTCTAAGTCATTCTGCGCTTCTGCTGAAGGCAGCCCATGTACGGCTCAAACCAGCCGTGCAAGCCAGAAGTGAATAGCCGAACAGCGTTTGGCTCACTTCACTTCGGCTGGGGTATTCACTCGGCTGCCTTCGGCAACTTTGTGAATAACCCCCTTTGTGCTGGAAAGGAAAGATATAATTCCAACAAAGGAGTTCTGGGAAGCTGAGGCTGCGTGGTTGTGTCATGAAGGAGGTGATAACTTGTAACCAATAAACTGATACTGAATTGCCTGATACTTTAACCACTTGCCGACCGCCCGTTGTAAAAAAACGGACGGACGGCACTGCAGCATTGGCGGGTCTCCGGATGGCATTTTTTTTCTGCTCGCGCGCGCCCCCTAGCGGGCGCGCAAGGGCAGAAAAGACCCGACCAATACAAACACCCGGTACCGGGTGTTTCACATATAGACGATCGGCGGCTCCATAGCTCGCCGATCGTCTATATGTGCTTGTTTTTTCGTTGTTATCCCCCTATATAATAGCAATAACAAGTGCAAAAATATATACATATAAATAAAAAATAAAATAAAAATAAAAGTCACATATAAAAAAAGTTTAAACCCCCCCCCAAAATGTTATCAAAAATGGCCGGGATGGGAAGGGGGTCTAACACCGCGGATGTCAACTTGTTAAAGCTTGGAATACAAATGTTTGTGTGTTTTAGCTCCGAGGTGCCTATAAAGTCCCACCAAATTGCTTTGTTCCCCTTCATTATTTTCGATATATACAGTTATATTTATATATTATATTATATTTATATATGTTTTTTGC